TGCGGAGCCTGCTTGGGATTCTCTCTCTGCCCCTCCCCTGTGTGTTCTCTCTCGTTATCATTCTCGTTCTCTCTCTCTCTCTCAATAAACATTTTAAAAAACCTGAGAGGAATCATACTTCAAATATGAGTGGCCACTAACCTCTTGGAGACTCTATTTCATCTGCGACATGAAAATAACCATCACCAGGAGTCAATAAGTGAATTCACAGGAAACACTTGTTTCCGAGCTTAGGGGTGAAGACTGAACATCTTCCCAGTAGATGTTCTCTCATTGCCCATAATTGCTTAAGATATTTCCTCTTGCGCAGTGAGCCTGATAGGATTCTAGCAAGGCTTTCCCCGCCGTGTAGCTCATAAGGCAGTAAGTCAGAGGTATCCTTTGTCCGCAGATGGAAACTCAAGTAGGGAGGTCTGACAGGGCCGTGAACTTTAAGGCACAGATGTGAACGTGCTGACATGAAGTAGTGGCATCCAGGGAACAAGAAGGCCAATCAGACAGCTGCAGGGGGACAGGCCCAGGTGCTAGACTAGAACAACATGTAGCTGAACTTTCCCAAAGGGAACCATACATTTGAAAAAGCATTCTGGATGTATGTCAAACTATTACTACAGTTGGTCCCGGAGAATGGGGTTGGGGTGGGGAAGAAAGCTGAAGACCCTTCCTCTGGTTTTATAAACTTCTTCTGTAAGTCTTTAATGTAGTCACAAGTTGATTTTTATTTTTTTTAATGTTTGAAAATTAATTATTTAGAGAGAGACACAGAAAGAAAGCCAGAGGGGGCAGAGAGAGGGGGAGAGAGAGAGAATCCCAAGCAGGATATGCCCTCTCAATGTGGAGCCCAACGTAGGGCTCAAACTCACAAAGTGCGAGATCATGACCTGAGCCGAAACCAAGAGTTGGATGCTTAACCGACTGAGCTGCCCAGGCGCCTCTATTTTTTATTTTTTTTTTAAGCTCATTTATTTTTGAGAGATAGAGCACAGAGAGGAGCAGAGGGAGAGGGATACAGAGAATCCCAAGCAGGTTCTGCACTGTCAGCACAGAGCCCGACGGCAGGCTCTATCTCAAGAACGTGAGATCATGACCTAAGCTGAAATCAAGAGTCAGATGCTCAAATGACTAAGCCATCCAGGCTCCCCAT